TGTGTGTGTTCGTGTGTGTGTAGCTGTGTGTGTGTGTGTGAGGCTGAATAAAAACTTGCGTCCCCTTCCTCCCCCTTGCGGAGCGTCCTGTCACTGGAGGAAAATGGCTGCCCGGGGTTGCTCCCCCAAGCTCAGAGAAAAGTGAGAAAAAGAGAGAGGGGGACAAAGTGGACATTTTCACGGCGAGAGGTCACATCTGGACCTGTTGGGGGGAACGCGGAGGAAGCCTCGACCACGGAGGATGTCTCGCTGGGTGCCCACGAAGAGGGAGAAGTACGGTGTCGGTACGTGAGAAAACTTCCACGCTCCATCGTTAGCTCGTAGCTCCGAGGCGGAACAAGTTTGGGAAGAAGCGCCGCCGCTGCTGCTGCTGCTGCTGTTGTTGTTGTTGGAGGAGAAGAGTGAGAGCGGCTGAATGTGGAGGCGAACATGGCGGAGAATGTTCCCGTGGAGAGAAGGGAGTGTTAATCTGCAACGTGGCTCGTTTGCATGAAACACAAATCAAGGAATGTCATTCTTTTGTGAGGAAGAGGAGTGTGAGTGAGTGTGTGTGTGGGAATAGAGGCGCGCCTAGTCGCTTCCTGTGTTCTGAGGCCTCCGCTGCACACTGGTACTTGTGAGGGTTTACTTTTTCTCTTCTTGTTTTAAAAAGTACTTTGTGTTGTTGTTGTTGTGAGTCAGTCAACTTCCTCACAACAGTTTGGAACCAGACCTCCTCACCTGAGAGGGCCGCGTCCCGTTTAGCTCCCACCCTCCCTCTGGAGACCATCCATCAGGATTCACAAGCTTCACAATAAGAGCATGTGTAGCTACACTAACCTTTTATTCTGAAGGGTTTTGTTGGAATAATGTAGTCCAAAATGATATTTAGAACGATTTTGATCATTTTCACGATAAGTGTGTTTCTTTTACATTCAACCCTTACATATTCAATTCATATTTCATGCCTTCACAGACCGGGTCCAAGCTTTCCCTTATAATACATGTCAATACTGAAATGTGAACTACAGTCAGATCTATGTAGTATGTATAAATAGCCTATCTGACATTAATAAATAGATGATTAATCCTTAATTAATGTTTCAGAGAGCAGGGAGAGTGTATTTTTTAGGTTCTACTATCACACAGTATCGTGTCCTGTTTTCCGTAAGACATGAAAACACAACAGTCATAATGGATTGAATATATTTAATTGAAAGTGAGAATGGCAAGAACTGTGTTCGTTTTTGACATTCCGCTGCCATCCCGCCTGCAACTTGTTGTGCAAGTGAGGACTTACGGATTGGGACATAAGTGTCTCCCTCTCTACCTCAGAGTCATCTTCATCAGGGAAGCTGTAGTCAGAGTTGTCCTCCATGTTTTCTTCCTCCTCCAAATCATCGCTATCAGCTTCCTCATCTTGGAAGATCAGATCTAGGTTCTCTTGCACAGTTTGTCTTGCTGCCATAACCTCAGTCACTGAAATGGCAGCTCACTCCTCTTTTGATCTCAGTTAGCTCAGAATAATTTTTAATTGGTTTATTTTCTGACAACTGTATGACTTCTGTAAGACCTTCAAATTCAAAAATAGCACTTAACCACAAGGTTTGTTTACATATTGTCCCGGGGATCACAGAGTCTGTAACTACTTTGTAGAGCCCCGCTGATTTGTTAGTTGGCTGATAACTTTGCTGATAAGAAAACCTTAATTTATTTTATTGATAAATACCAATCCTCAATTACTATTTCTTCGAGATAGGTTTGATAATGACATCTGAGGAATCATTGCCTATTTACATATGTCTAATTATATTCATTTAATCGGTTGTATTTTAGAGGAGACATGAAATGGTGTAAAAATGAGAGAACCTGTCTTGCTTAATAAAACACTGAGCTCATCATCAACAGCTTGGTTCTGTTTAGCCGGTGATGTTGCAAAACCCATGTTTTCTAGAATAATATGGTTTCACTTTCACAACAACACATTGTGTTTTTGATGTGTGTAATGTAGATCACCACACGTGTACTCCCTTTTATCTCCATCCATTAGAGAGACAGAGGGCTTACAGCCGTGTGCAGGATGCTGTTGCTGACTGATGGATGAATTCAGCAGGTTTTACCAAGGCCTGATTGGGCCATCTCAGACTTCAGCTTCCAAATGAGCTCTGTTGTTTTCAACTCAGCCCAGTCCATGCAATATGAGCTGCTGGTTCCTTTGTGTCTCTTCAGCAGATATGGCTTGCTGGGATTCACATTAGTATGTGTGTGTGCGCTGTACAGTATTCTGATGCTAATGATTGCCTTGCGATACACTCAAATATCCATGAGAGCTCAAAAGTCGAGGTTCTTCAGAGAAAAAAATGCTTATGGGAATCCCTGAATACAAGAGTGGATGAGTCGTTAGTAGGAAGAGAGGTAGCTGCCACATCCCTGCGACTGGAGCGCACGTCCATAGCACTTTTAATGCTGCATGTGTTGACCAAGTTGCTCTAATGAGCTCTCTGTGAGACCTCTTATTCTGCCAGCGCTCGCTCTGGACCGATTTCTGTTCCAGCAAAACTTTTGTCATATCATTTACGACTCTCGTAATGGTCCTCTGGCTGTATTAGTGAATATAGGAAAACCATCCCTTGTAGTCTATTCACAGCAGTATTATTAATAAATGCTACTGTCTTCTTACAGTCGCAGTAATAAGACTGTGAACGGTGATGTTTTTTTGTTTGCTGTGCTGCTGTATAGTTCTCCACTGGTTTTGACGCTCTTATGTGACAGCCGAGGACCTCGCCAGCTGATTGGCTTCGGCAAGATCTTTCTGTGAACCAGCCTATTTGTTGTAATTTGAGCTTGGTAACATTAATAGTCATAAATCAATGCTGTGACATAGAACTGTCATTCAAGATACTTTTAATTATTGCTTAGTGAGTTGTTTTATCTAGAAAATAAGAAGAAAATAACTATAAATGCATATAAGTTTACTTATATTTAAACAGAAAATCTTCACTCTAGAGAGGCATTGAACAATAATCATTCAGCAAATTGCTTGCTACTGGTCTT